ATCCCAAAATATAGTCATCTGTCAAAACACCAGCCACAACTTGGAGACAATTTTTTATGATCTTCTTTGCAAGCATGACAGCCAAATAAAGCATATCGTATAAACGGTTGGTATACAAACAAAACATATTAAATGTATAGATATGCATAAATATTAAGAGCATGTAAGTCTGAATGTCCTCCAAGTCTCCTCCTAAATAAGAAAATAAAACGGTCATATCTAGGATGTATCAAACCCTGTTTCATCCAAGCAACACATTAGTAGTTTCTAATAAAGGAGAAACAGGTCAACATCACCTCTTAGAGCGTGTCGATGCTACATCAAACAATCCTGCAGGCATCTAAGGAGAATGCTCTCAATGGTTCCACACCTTTTCACTTTTTTCCTGGCTTTTGTGGCATTTCCCAGTAGTCTCTGTTGTTTTTCTAAATTAATTACACTCTTTTGAAACGGGGACAATATTAGCATAGCTGTCTAATAAGGCACATTCCGATTCCTTTGTTCCTGCAGGTTCCTTTGAACCACTGGCTGGAATCAACTTCAAGTTGGCTCTGGAGACTGTTAAATGAAGTAGAATTTATTACTTGCTCCTAACAGGAGCGTGTGGGAGGGTTTCCTTACCACCTTCCCATCCTTTCCGTGCCTGCTGAAGGAAGATTTTCCAAACTACTGCCTCATAAACTTGTTTTCTCCCCGCTTTCTGCCTCCCACACAAGTGGTAAGTGGCTTCAGTGGCACACAAGTTCACTAGCCAGAGTTGCTGCAGTGGCTTTTTGGTACATTAAGGAGTTTAACACCATTCAGTAACCATAGTACTTGGCAATATATGAAATCCACAAAAGTTACATAAATTATTATATTGTTATTTCAAAACGTCATCATAAACACTTTACAACTGGTTAAGAGGGTAGATTTAACCCACGGCCCTTTAATGGGTTATTTGCTGACCTACTCCCAGTCCTAAAAACATCACCGTCTCCAGAGCAGCCAAACCTCCAGCCAAATCCCCGTCTCCATGAAGCTCATGGATAGCACCTGGGAGGGCAAACTGCAGCTGCACTTGCCCAGTGCTGGTATTTGTGTCACTGCTGTTACCATCACGCTGTATTCCCTAGGCAAGGTGCGGTCATGGCCCTACAGGCAGCACCAACACCACGTTTTTGTGGGCTAAAAGGCACATGGAACAAATCCAGAGGGGAAATGGTAACCTATTGATTCTGGATCTCTCTATATTTTTATTTTCAGAAGGAGTGTAAATTCTTTAAACTGAAAACTATTTGCATGTAAGGTGCCAACAATGGCATAGCCACAATGGGAGTATCAATATGGAATTATGTCCACAATGGCAATACCAATATGGAATTATGCAGAACAACGGGATGCTGTATTTTTACTGAGGCATAACTACGCTTTCATCTTATCTGGGCCGTTCTGAGCACGCAGACATAAATCACTGCAATACTTGCATTCATTATTAACACATGCTACAAGAATCCATACGGTCAGTCCGTTGGAGCACCAACAAAATCACAATTAAATCATATCCAGACAATTGAGATACAAATTAATTATTACCGTGTAAAACTCTGCTCAATTTTGCCCGCTTGTGGGCTACCAAATCTCCTGCTTTATTTAGGGTCTTACTGCTCAAAAAAGCATTTTACTACCAAGCATGAAGGCGTACACTCTTTTACACGCAGAAGATATCATCTGTTTTCAGAGATTTTTCTTTCTCACACAAGCCTGGGCAGACTGGAAGTTAAGCTGGGCTCTTACGCAACCAGAGCCCGGGCACGCACACGGATGTTGGCCAAGGCACAGCCCAAGGCTCACTGTAATCCATTCCAGGGATTGCTGACACGACAGCCCATCATAACCGTACTCCAGCACTGCACGACAACACAACACGCAAATTGTACCTTGATCAAATATTTTTCCCATCTGTCTGCCGTGACAGACTTCCCAATCTTTCTCATCAGTTTCAAGTGAAGCTCCACCAATTCTTTTGGAACTGCAGTATTGAGAGAGAGAGAGAGAGAGAAAAAAAAAAAAAAAAAGAAGTTATGAGGACTGGTGTAAAAAGACTTCAATGCTAAACACTGTGACAAAGTGAAAAGTTTTAATAAAACATAATAACTTAAAATCTGCTGAAGAGCAGCCCCACAACTGACAGATGGAGGAAGGTTAATTTAATCCCTTGGGTCTTTTTGTTTAGATTTACTTTTATGATGATCGTTGATTGCCCTTCCTTAAACTCAAGGAAGCAGATCTCAGTGATAAATCCGTACAAATTCTGGCAGGATTAAAACAATTGGACAGGAACTGTGCCAGTTAAACACCTCCAAAACCTGCAGCTGCCTCCAGAAAGCCCAAAGCCATCTTCTGCACCACGCCTGGAACATCGCTGAATCCAAACTATTTTTGGCTGGGTATGTGCTACCGGAGAAACGTTCCAGAAACTTTGTCCTCACAGATGCAGCTTTGCTAAATTCTTAGTCTCCTTCACAATAGAGGGACAGAGCTGCTGCTGAGTATAGATGCACCAGTGCCAGCACGGAATAGAAGTTTTCCAACCAAATTTCCCTCATCTCTTATTGTATGCCCCTCAAGCACAACTTCAACACCTCGTCTTAGCTCTCATCTGTGATTTATAAATCCATCTGGCACCACCAAGTGGCAAATCTGAAGAACACCAATTTCATACGGCACACCTTATTAAAACTATGTAACTGATGATTATTAATGCAACCATCCATGCCCAGTGACGTGAGCTTCTCATTTGGAACTTGCTGAGAGAAACTTCAAGAAATTAACTTTTCAAGTATTTTTATTTCTCTGCTCTTCGCATACAATTTTATTTTCTGAAAGCACTTCCATTACTCTTTGCACAGACACTTTAAAAGTTTAAAACCCAAGACCGTTTGTGAGCATAATTTAGGATTTCTGTTGTTCTGCTGGTCCAGTAGCATCACTTGACACAGGACAAACAGCTGGGACACCAAATGTGTTTGTTCTGAACTAGACATTACTGAGATGGTATTTCTTTAAACAACATTTCAGTAATTTGTGGGAATCTTTTCAATATTTAATTTGATTTCACCTCACCAATACTTCTGCCTCAATCAAACGTCTCTGTTTTCAAGTGAACATAATGAGTTGGTAAAACACCAGTTTGATGAAAATGCTTGTGCCATTTCAGGAGTTAATCCTCGCTGCTGGTTTGCAGCTAGAAATTCAATACACAAACTCCTTCAACAAAGAGAAGAAATACCAGTCTGGTACCCAAAAAGAGACCTCTTTTCAATGTAGATAATTTATAAGCAACTCTAAACGAGCCCTGAACTTTTCTCCTTTATTCCATTTGTATTATTTCCGTTACTATTACATGTCGAAGAAACTTAGCACATCTCCTCCTTGGTTTTCCTGAAAAAATCAATGCATTTCATCACTGTAAACTACCACGTATTTTAAAAGGAACAAGATCAAAGGTCTTCACCCTGGTAGGTGCTGAGCACTTGACACGAACAAAACGAAGCCCAAAGCACTTTGTACACATGAGCAATTCCATCAGAGTCAACTCGTACAATTAAACCTCAGCTGGTCTTTGTGTGACATGGAACGGAGCCAGAGCACTCTCAGCCTTGCTGGATCAAAGCTTTTGTTCTGCATTTTTGTTTGTTTATTTGTTTGTTTTTAATCAGATCTCTCTTTAACGGGTACACACTGATTGGAATCCTAATTTTAAAAAAGCAAGAGTGATTTGTTTCAAATAATCAAATCCCCAGCCACCACAAAAACCTTTGCAGGAGTGTCAGTCTTGGAAGAAATGAAGAACATTAAAAATGCAAACATTGCAAAGTAATTTTGCCCACCCTTGGTCAGCACTTACTGGGATTTGTGTTAATACCTACCGAAACCTCAATTCTTTTCTGAGATTCCAGCATTTCAGCTCTTGCATTTCTAGGATCTTGATGATGTATCGATGTGGTTATTTTCACAAATAAACTTCACGAAACATTTCAAATTAATTCTCTATTTATTTTTTTAGCCTTTCAAGATGTTTTTGGTGTATCGTAACAACATTAACAACCAGATCTCTAGGCTGGCTTTTCACCAGTTCCCTAGTAAGTGCTTAGGGGAATTGCACACTGTCCTCCTTGTTCTAAGGAATAAGGTGGGAGTTTCAGAGAAGAAAACACATCCAGTTCGCAGGCAGAAACTAGGGAGCAGTCTGATCACAGAATCATGGAATGGTTTGGGTGAGAAGGGACCTCAAAGATCATCTATTCCCAACCCCCCCTGCCATGGGCAGGGACACCCTCCACTACACCAAGTTGCCCAAAGCCTCATCCAACCTGGCCTTGAACAATCCCAAGGATGGGCCAGCCACAACTTCCCTGGGCAACCTGTGCCAGTGCCTCACCACCCTCAGAGGGAAAAATTTCTTCCTTATATGCAATCTAAATCTCCCCTCTTTCAGTTTAAATCCATTGCCCCTCATCCTATCACTACACATCCTTGTAAAAAGTCCCTCTCCAGCTTTCCTGTAGCCCCTTTAAGTACTGGAAAGCTGCTATAAGATCACCCTGGAGCCTTCTCTTCTCCAGGCTGAACAGCCCCAACTCTCTCAGCCTGTCTCCATAGCAGAGGTGCTCCAGCCCTCGGATCATCTCCGTGGCCTCCTCTGGACCTGCTCCAGTAGCTCCATGTCCTTCTTGTGTTGATGACCCCAGAGCCGAATGCAGTATTCCAGGTGGGGTTTCACAAGAGCAGAGCAGAGGGGCAGAATCACTTCCTTCGACCTGCTGCCCACACTGCTTTGGATCAGCCAGAGTGGCTGAACTACCGCAGGAGCAGAAGCCCCTGGGGCTGAGACACAAACTCTGTACTGAAATCAAAGCATCTCTAAATAATATATGGGTCACACGCAGCAGCGTACACCTGACTTGCCCAGAAATACCAGCTCACGGTTGGTAGGAAGGCTGAAAAGAGTGGTAGAAAATCCATCCTTTCCCACGACATGTATAGCAAGGAGTGGAGGTGCACCAGTAAAGGTGACTAATGTTTCAGTCGTCTTGGAAACGCATTTTAACTTTAATTTAACTTACTTTTGTTCAAAACAGAGAGAATTCTTGACAAGAGTTCGTTGAAGTGGGACATCCATAGGGATCATTTCTGTAACACCTTCTAATCCAACTTGTAACACACCAAAGATAATGAACATGAGATGTCATTACTTTCAGGTTGTGGTGGTGTTTGTTTTTTTCAAAATAACAACAGTAGACTATCATCTCCTTTGTAAAATATCATCTCCATTCAAGTGGGACCTGCATCACTCATTTCAGGAACTCATACAACCTAAAAATGTTTTACGGTTTTTAAAGTTTCACGTAAGAGAAGGAACACCACATACCATCCTTCTTGCCTAATAACCATTCTTCATAAGGTTTTGGCAAAAAAAGTGTGATGGAACATATACAAAAAAAACTAAACCCGAATGATATTCTCAAAATTTTATAAAACTTTGATTTCTCTGGAAAGTAATAGAGTAGCTCTCTAAAACCTCGACAGAATGCACTTAAGTGGCAGAGAAAACACCAGGACTCTGGGCACAGGGCTAACAGAAATTGAACCAGTGCAATTTTAAAAACTCTTTCAAAGAATCCATTGTAATTAAACCATGGTGCCACCTGCTAGATATTCAAAAAAACAGACTTTCACAGCAAGAAGCCATGAGTCAGAAAATACAAGTCACTGTATATACAATTATAGGGCTTTTGGTGGAGTTTAGCCAATTTGTCAAGTCCTGCACTTTCCTGGAGAGCAGCCTCTTGTCCGGCCCTCAGACAACATCCTTTGAACACTATTATCCACTGCAGCATTTCAGGGATCAGTCACACATTCCTAATAAGTTTGGGAATGACAGAAAATTGAAAACGGAAGAGGGAGAAGCACAAACACGTAGAAACCTCCTCATCTGGGTAGAAAAGCTGTAACTTTCTAACAACTGCATAACCACGGATTAAAGACCTGGGTGTGGGCACCTCTTGGCACCTTCCCACATAGCCACTTCACCTCTGCTTATTTTCCTGCCCGAATTAATGGGCTCCTAGCTGAGCACTCACCTGAACAAACCTGGAAGAAAGGAGGGAAACAGAAAACGTAGATGACAGATAAATCCCTGCGTGTGGAGGGAGGATAAGGGGAACCTGGTATTTAGAAAATGACTATAAATAAAAAAACCTTCGTATCAGAGCAGATCTGGAGTACTGGACACAAGAGGGGAAAGATCAGAAGCACGACGTACGCCCAGTCCCTGATGTTGAAGTGGATTGCAAAGCCTATGCCTCCTCTTTTCCTTCAGGGATGAGGGAAAAGCACACAGAATCCCTCATGGGGACTTAGGGAGATGGGAACAAAAGGTAACTTTTTGGGATGCAAAGACTGCTGGCAGCTTTCACGCTTCGCAAACACAAACAGGTCTTCCCAGTCACACTAGTAAAACCTTTTTCCGTGCTAACTTGTTTTGGCCAATTGGGAGGAAAAAAAAGTGACTCCTAAGATACACAGGGCAAATATTTCTGTTGTTTGCTCTTTTTGATCTTTCTGCCTTGACCAAAACTACCTCTGCACGCTATGACTTCACTGTCACATAAAGCCATGCTAAGCAGGTGGACAGTGAAGATTGACGGGATCGTTAATAATCTCCTACTTTCCCTTTTTTCCCTGCTAAGGGAAGTGAGGTCACAGTAACCGGTACAAAACTGGTGTCTATTAACTTCTGACACCCTGCACAAAGAGTTTAACGGCAAGCAAGCACAAGATGCTTCCATCAGGTTCAGCTCCCTCCACTGTGGATGCTGCAGGGAGCCGTAGTAGCAGCAAGTGCACAAAGTCCTCTGCTCAGACACTGGAGAAGAGTTACTACGCGGTCAGCCCACCACACACTAACCACGCACTTAATTCCCCTCACAGACAAGCTCTTACACACAAATTTCCTTAAAACCAGAA